GGCTCATATTTGTGGCTTGCATTGTATTTCTCTCAGACAGGGTAAGCGACCAAAATAAAACACCACTATATCAGACACACTTGTGTGTTGCTAAACACTTTCAAATGTGAACAGAAGAATGAAGAAGGAAGAAAGGTAACAGAGGCATTCAGAGGACACGTACAACAGCAGCAGTAGCAGCAGCCTTTATGCTGTTTTAAGTAAGTAATAAACATAAACAACAGGAGGCCCGGCCCCGTAGCCAAGTGGTTAAGTTTGTGCGCTCCGCTTCGGCGGCCCAGGGTTTCGCCGGTTCGAATCCTGGGCGCGGTCATGGCACCACTCGTCAGGCCATGTTGAGGCAGTGTCCCACATGTCACAACTAGAGGGACACACAACTAAAATATACAACTATGTACTGGGGGGATTTGAGGAGAAAAAGAAAAAAAAAACCATAAACAACAAACTTTCTGGAAAAGGCCATGTTGCAATTGCAGATTCTCTTCTCCCCCTGCCTGGAAGTGTCCTGGAAACTCCCCTCCCAGCAAGCTCCCTCTCCTGCCTACCTTTGATGAGCTCCGGCCTGTAAGTCTTGCGCAGCTGCTCCAGGAAGCTGTTATAGAAGCCCTCTGCCTGCTCCGTGGGCATCGCCAAGTGGAAGTCGGGCTTGTTCCCCTTGAGGACGCACTGGAGGGTAAACTGGCTGATGCACAGCACCTCATACTGCTTGTCCATCACACTCTTTGACCAGTGTTTCCCACTTTCATCCTCAAACACACGCAGGTTTAAAATCTTCCGGACCCTAAGGGGAAATACAGCAGTGAGAGCCACCTGAAGAATCACAAGCCACCCAGCACACTCCATCCCCCAAACTGTCACCAGCACCCTGCCAAATAAGAACATAATATTGTCTCCATCGCTTATAGGAGGTGTGACCACAGGCAAGTTACTTATCTACTCTATGCCTCAGTTTCCTCATCTGTAATATGGGGTAATAACAGTCCTACCTCACAGGGTTGTTTGGAGATTTCCTTTTTTTGCCAGTCCCTCCAATTCACAGCAGCTGCTGGTGGGGAGTGGCGCTAAGAGGACAGCCACCCATTATCTGCTCCTTCAAATTGGAGGATATGTCAAAACAAGGGTCCAATTCTAATTTTTTATAGAAGCATTCCATCTTTAGCCTGGGATAAATGACACCCCATTTTTCCACCCTTTCTTGGAGCTACTCAAAATGAACAATTCAGCAAATATCCTGGAGAAAACTCATGGTTATTGCAATTATGCAAAAAGATCTGAGGAAAGACACCTTGACAACTAAGTCACATGTTCCTTAAGCCCTAGAGGAGCTTTCTCTATAAGTGTGGATGACAAAGGACAGCCACCATGGCAAGGAAGAGGACCAAGTAACATTTAAGAGATCAGATTTGAGAAGCATAGCAAAGAACTCCCTGCACAAAAGTTGAAATTCCACCATTTAAAAGCTGCCTTTTTGAGGAGTGAAGACACGTTCAAGGGCTCTACAAATACTAAGTCCCTGACACTTTATATGGGTACCCTCTGTGGTGGCACTATTCATCACCCCCTCTCCACAGCAGAGGTCTGCCCTATGTACGTCTAGTAGGTCATATGAGCCATAAAGAGACTGAGACCTAGGCTCCCAGCTTTTGACCATGACACCACCCTACTGACTCTTGAGTATCCAGGCGACAGCTATTAAAATACCAACATCCCTGAAGTGGTACTGAACTGTCCTTATCAGTCATCAACACCTTAGCAGGAATTAGGTTGCAAGTGTGATTTTCAACCTAATACAAACGGGACAATTGAGGGGGTTATCCCCAAGCTCTGGGGACCAAGGGGCAGAATAAATGGACCCAAGCATCTGAAGTAAATGTGCCAAGCGGTGCTGGGGAGAGAATGAACATGGGTGTAGCCGCCGCTGACGCAGGAAGGGTTAACAATCACTGGAAAAGGCTTGCCAACAAACTGTGACCCAGAGGTGAGAAGGCCGGTCAGCCAATGACGGGTAAGACCTCCAGGGGGAGGCAACCTAAGACACGCATGGTCACCTGGGGGCATAGATGGAGACACGATATCGATACCAGGAGCAGGAGGGGCCGTTGCCTAGGAGACCTTGCCTGCTCGGAGATAAAAATATACAAGCACAGCAATAACATGATAATATCAAAACAGAGGGAAGGAAGGGCTCCTTGAGAAATCACTAAGAATTCTTGGCATTCGCTAATTACTTCACCCAGAACACCTGTGTATGTTTAACAGATGTAAGCTATGTATACATTGAAACGCTGGTTATAATAAACTCAGAGTGGCCATCAGCCCTCTCCGCATCTATCCTGATGTGTACATTGGATTGTGACACCGACAATGGGGAGTGGGGAAGCTGCCCATACTAAGAGACCCAGCCAGGCAACAGCAGTGACAAACTCCTCTATCTTAACAAAAAGAGCACTGGCTTCCAGGTCAGCTAGCTGAGATTCTAACTCGGGTTTGAGCTTTTTGCTTAGTGTGTATGCGTGACCTTGAGCAAGTAATTTAACCTCCCTGAGCTCCAGATCCTATATGTACATGAACAAGTGGGTAGTTTTAAAATGCATAAATAGTGGCCAGACAATACTGCTCAAATTAAAAAACAGAAATCATTCATAAGAAAAGAGGCTCAGTTTCTGCAGTAAGAATGCTTTGCAAATGTAGCAGCAAATAGGGATGGGGACTGAATTGTACCCCCACTCTGCTGCAGACTTAGTGGGTGACGTTTGACAACTACTCTTCCTCGGTCTCCTCATCTGAAACACAGAGATAACCATACTACATCGAATGGGACACGGATAAAAGTGACAGGGGCTTACTTTTTAGGAGCAAAATATTATGGAAGTTTCTAGCATACATATTTCTGTAGATATAACCATCACTTATCCTATTCATAAAGCAAACTCAGAAATCCGCATCTTACATGTGTTCCAGTTCCTTCTGTGTATCTTCCAGAGAAATACCCAGCAAGACACAGATGCCCCGTCCAATGGCACTTATCTGCTCTCCTCCAACTAGAAAGGAAACAGAAGGGAAACAAGACTCTGAACCAAACAGGTGCCATGAAGCACTTTCAAGTAACTATAGGAATGTTTAAACATCACATATACTTCTCATAACTTCTTTGGCAAAGTCAGTAGGTATTGAAAAAGGAAAGGAGTTACATAAATGCAGTTAGACAACCATAATTCATGTCCATTCTGATGTTATATCTGGAATGAATGAGTTGTGAAGTGAACAACCATTAAGCAAGATTTTAGGGCCATGTTTTCATCTGTCCTACCTTGGGCAAGACACCTGAAACTTTCTATGATGGAGTGTGCCCATCTGTAAAAACAGAACAGAGATTTCCTCCCCAGGGAATCTGGCTCAGTTACGTTAATTCTCAGAAAGGAGATAGCTGCTTTTCTTGGAAATCAGCAGTGTGGTAACACAATACACAGGTGGCACAAAATGGAAAACATTTATGTCATAAAAACAAAGAGGTGACTTTTTTTTACTTACTGCAGAGAAGACAAATATATTATACAAAAAAACCACATGTATACATTAAGCTTCAAGTCAGCAAACTTCTATCATTTCCCAGTTTAGTACTAAAGTTACAGTCTGAGCAAATGATCTCCAAATCTTTATGAATCATGCACCTCATCTATTTTTTAAAAAAAAGCCTCTGAACACAGACTCCTATTGCAAACATTTGTGTATGTATTTGCAGTCAAATGTATGCTCTGCTCCTGTTAGACAGTATCTCGGTGCCAGCACAGTACTTAGGCCAAGAGGCATCATTATGATGGTGAACCTAAACTCATATTTCAAATGTTGATCTTCATCACTTTCAGTTTTTTTGGTCAACTTTTTGCCAAATCTCATTAGATTACTGGTGTTTTGTTACTTTATCATGTACTGATCTAATGTTCCAATCAGGAGAAAGATCAACTCTGCCATCTTCTTGTTGTTTGCTTCCGCTGGATAATAATATCTAAATATCCTAAATATACCTGACAAGGCAAAATAGGCTGGACCACAGTGCAATACTCCGTAAGCTAGGGAAAAAGTGAGACTCCCCCCTCTTCCGTCAGGTGTCTGACAAGGGACCACCTGACATTCAGACCCAAGAGGAGCACCAACATCAACCCATTCCTGAAATACCAGGAAAGCCTAATTTCTCTTATTTTTATGTTAAAAACACATAAATATTTTAATATTTTCTTGTGCTGCCTTTGTTATAACCGACTATGAGTGATTTACTGTCCTTTTGAGCCACTGACTCAAACAGAAATAATCCGTTTTGACACAACTAGTAAACAATCGGAGTTTGCATGGCTTTAGACAAAGTCTTTGGCTCTATCTGTTCTTTAAAGAAATCAATGTTATTTTCTTACAATGTCAATATATTGCCTAAATGTTCCCCAAAGTATGTTTTAAAACCTTAAAAAATAATGATTATTTAGCTATATCCACCATTAAAGTAATGCATATACGTTATAGAAAATTTGGAAAATGCAGGAAACAGGAAGGAAAAAAGAACACCCAGGGACAAGCACTCTCATAGTTTAATGATTTCCTTTTGCTATTTCTCTATTCATAGATTTTACTTCACATATGTTTTCAACTACTGTAATAATATTGTATATAAATTTTTCTGTCTCATCGTTTCTTTTAACTTTGCATAAGGATTTTTCCATGTTCTAAGCTTTTCCTAAACATCTTCTAATAGTTGCATCCCATCATGTGGAATAATTGCATTCCATCCAAAGGACTGACTAGCCATCCCATCTAGCTGGATACATGGCTTGTTTCAAAATTTTCATTCAATAAATAACACTGTGATGAAAATCTTTGTACACTAAAGCTTTTTTTTTTTTAATACATTTTACTTTTCAGAGCAGTTTTAGGTTCACAGGAAAACTGAGCAGAAGGTACAGAGATTTCCCATATACCCTCTGCCCCCCCACACGCACAGCCTCCCCCATTATCAACATCCCCCACCACAGGGGTACACCTGTTACAACTGATGAGCCTACACTCAGAGTCCAGAGTTTGCATTAGGGTTCCCTCTTGGTGGTGTACATCCACGGGTTCGGACCAACGTGTAATCACGCGCATCCACCACTACGGTATCGTACAGAGTAGTTTCACCGCCCGAAGAATCCTCTGTGCTCTGCCTATTCAGCCCTCTAAAGCTTTTCCTATAATTAGGATTATCTTCTCAGAGTCGAATCTCAAAAGTAGAATCACTATTTGAAGTGATTCAAATCACTATTTGAAGATTTTCAGCATTTTTATATTGTATTAGTGTCTTAATAAGAAACAAATTATGCCCCAGAGTCTATACATGATGGTTGGCTCTCTTATTTTGGAGCAGTTTTCTCCCTCCTCCAGGGACAAGCAGAAGAATTAGGAAGTTCAAAGAGATCTTTTATTATAGACAAATTTCTATAATTTCCAAGGGAAAGGATTTCCAAGGAAAAAACCTGAGAATCACCATTTTAGACGACAGATCACAGGGCTGGAAAAGCCCTGAGATGTTTGGTCAACTTCTCCAAGTAGGAGTGGCATCACTCGACCTCTTCTTCCTCGAGAATTCACAACCTCCCAAATTAATGCATCAAACCCAACCATTTTCGCTCCTCTTCCCAACGTTCTGTGATTCTGTTCAGAATTTAGCTGCTGAAGCTGAGCGATGGGACATGGAGGTCACTGTACTACTCCATCTGTGTAACCAAATGATTATGTTTGAAATGTTCCATAATAAAGCTTTCAAAATCAGATTATCACAATAACCATAATAAGGCATCAAAATGTGCCTGAGCAATCTCATAAAATGAATCTGCCACATAATAAGATGTGACTCCTAATATTCTACTCTGTCCCAACCATAAAATAGGAAGTGACGTTTTAGAATCCCTGAAATAAAATGCCATTCGCACAGTCACACTTCAGTGAAGCCAGCCACATTTTAAAGGAATCAGAAAATCTTTCCGTCACAATTCAACTAGAAGGCCTGGCTAACTCGAAGGTCCCTCCAGCACTGAGAGAGAATTCCATTTTATTAACATCCAAATTATTAACACCTTCCCACAATTAACACTCATCTGTTTTTTTTTGAGGAAGATTAGCCCTGAGCTAACTGCTGCCAATCCTCCTCTTTTTGCTGAGGAAGACTGGCCCTGAACTAACATCGTGCCCATCTTCCTCTACTTTATATGTGGGATGCCTACCACAGCATGGTTTGCCAAGCAGTGCCATGTCAGCAGCCGGGAACCGAACCAGCGAACCAGGCCGCCAAAGCAGAACGTGCGAACTTAACCGCTGCCCACCGGGCAGCCCAACATTCATCTTTTTTAATACACAGGTTGGTCAGTTGGTTTTTAACTAAAAGCATGCAATTTCAATAGTAAACTAAAATCACTCAAACACCATTCAGCAAATCTCACAGACTATATGTTTTCAATATTCCATATCAGCAGGATGGAGAGTTCAGGAGAAAGAAAATCAAAACTTAAATTCTCGAAAGTTTACTCACTGTTGATGATGACCACATAGAGCAGACTACTAGATTATTCTCAAAAAAGCAAAAAACCTTTTCATCTATGAATTTTCCCAGTTCTAGTGAATTTAAATATTAAGTGAAATGCTAAAAATCTTTGTTTTAAAATTCTATAAATCCCAGCGCTATTCTAGTCTCTATTACTCCAGGACCATATCCAAAACCAGTTATCAGAACACCTCAGAAATCACTGAAAAGTAGAATCTCAGATCTAAATATACGGTTTTGCTGGGTTTGGTTGTTTCTTTAGGGGATTTGGTTGTTTCTTTAGGGGATTTTGTTTTTAGATTTATACTTTTGTGGACAGAAAGAACACATATTTGGTGTAGACTGGCTTGAAGCAAAGGATTTCTGGAATTACCTGAACTAAAACAATATTATAATTCTGCCAATAAAAATAGAAAAGACTACAAGACAATCTAAAGTTTGTCATTGAAATGTTTTTTTAACATCTTTATTATCTTGGTTTGAGTTTTTAAAACGACTACATTATCTACATTAATCATCTAGACCCCTGATGTCCAAACCAGGCTGGAGTGACGAAGTGTTGACTAATCGTTGGGTGGCTAGGTCCACAAGAAATTGGTGAAGAGAGATATCTGATCTTGAATTCTTTAGATTCTGACCCCATCCTGCAAGGTTCGGCGTGAGGAAGAGGGGTGTGCCGGGGCTGGGGACGTCCTGCATCTAGTCTGGGCGCTGGTCACGTGGGTGGACACAACTGTCAGAACTCATCCAAATGAACCACTCTTCACATCTGTACATTTCATTGGACGTCAATCTCCATAAAAATTGGGACATGCAGAAAATGGGCAAAAATGGGAAATTTAAAACAGAACGTTGGAAAGGGGGAGTTCTTGCTCCGGAAATGCTCCCTACATGTTGCTCGTGCAACATTCCAGGGAAGAACGGGCCACGGGGATGCTCGGAGGTTCTGCCACCCTGTACTCTGGACAGAACAAATGACGATAATCATAGTAAGACGCGTTTATGAGGAACCCAAAGCGGAGATCCTAAAACCGGGACGCGCGGGGTTGGCCAGGCACGTGGACGGCGCGCTCCGGCCTCGGCGGCGCCCCGAGCCGGCCGTGGACTCGGGGCTGCGGGGGCCGAACTCGCGCAGGAGCCGCCGCGGCCGGAGCGGCCGCGGGACGGCGTGGGGGTACCTCCCGGGCGGCCGGGGACCGCCTAGCGCGGGGTCAGGGGCGGCTCCTCCCGGGCCCGGCCCCGCCCGACTGACCTGTGACGCTGGCCCGGGTGACGCGCTGCACCACGGCCTTCATGGCGGCGGCTGGGGCGAGCTGGGCGGCGCCGGGCTCCTTCCGGCTCGCGACACCGCGGGCGGCTCTGCGGCCGGCGCCCTCTGCGGGTGACACCAGGAAGCGCGCCCGGCGTCCCGTCGGCCCTGGTCCGCGGCGGCCCGCCCACGTCGGCCACGCCCACTCACAGGGTGGCCCCCCCCACGTGGGTCAAGCCCCCCCTGCGGCCTCGCCGTAACCCCGCCCGCCCATGATAGGCCCCGCCCCCACCCTTGGTCCCACCCACAGCCGGGACCCGCCCGAACTCTGGGATCCAGCGACCCCCGGCCCAGCCCCCAATCCGTGCCCAGATCCCCAATTTGGGTGCTGGTGTTTTCCACATGCCCGTTTTCAGTCAGTCATCCTTAAATTCCAGCCTTGTCTTGAATCCTATTCCTGTGTTCCCCTTCCTTTTTTCCACTCCTCTGGGGACAGATCCTCCCAAATTCTTCCTCCATCTTCTTGCCTCAATGGCTTCTCAGAAACCCCATGGAACAGGATCTGCTGCATAAAATAGCCGTTTAACTATAAATTTGACTTAGCCATGTCATGGTAATATAGAGATATATGATTCTGTAAGTCTGATTCCTCCTCTATTAGAAATACTGAGTTCCCCTCGTGGCGTTGTTGGGAGATTGAAATGAATAGACTATGTAAAAGTGCTTAGAAAGCTGCAAAGGACTGTACCAATTTTACCCTAACAAATTATCATCACTGATAAAAATAAGTCCCTCTAGGTGTGTCTTCTTCCTAAAGTCCTCTAATAGCATTGGTGGGTGTAGAGTAATGGGGTTCAGGACACGCTACCCCAAAATATGGCACCTTGGCATCTTGAATATTTTAAGCTGAAGGAGATTGAGAAAACAGCAGAAGCAGGAAAGTCACTGTGACATTCTCCCCTGAAACAGGCCATCAAACCGTCACGTGAGAGGAGCCCTCCCACACCTGGCGGAAAGGAGCGTCCTTGTCTCCGAGGACAGAGGGACCCGAGAAGAATCCGGACAAACAGGCCTTGCTGTCTGCCCGCTTTACTACCCTTCCCTCCCGCTCCTTGACCTGCCACCTTCCTCCACGACTGTCCTCACTTCACCAAACCCAGCAGGAAAGTACACGGCTCTGTTTCTTCGGGTCGTCATTTCCTTAGGAAGGCTTCTGTGTCATGTAAAACTTAAATAAATGTGTACGGCTTTTCTCCCGTTAATCTGTCTTTGTCAGGTTAATTTTCAGACCCAGTCAGGGACCTTAAGTGAGTCATGAGCCGAGGAAAACTTTTTCCTCCCCTATAAGAGAAAGCATTCAAGTGGAGAACAAGGGACAATTATTGGCCAGAAAAGACTGCAAACTAGTATGCTTGAACGTTAAATACCGGATATTAAATTATGTTAATGAAGTGGCCAAAGTTAACATCACCAGTAATGAGACAAACGAACATCGTATGCTTCGGATATTGTGCTGATGGGGAATGGTGTCAGTTTTGTGATATTTCTGGTAAAAATGTATAACCTCAATCCAATCATGAAGGAACATCAGATAAACCTAAACTGAGGAACTTTCTACAAAATAGCTCGTCAGGGTTCCTCAAAAATGTCAAGGAAAAGAAAGTCTGGGGAACTGATCCAGATAAAATGAGGCTGTTAAAGAAATAGGAAAACTAAATGTGATGCATGAACCTGGGTTGTATCCTGGCCAGAAAATAAGATAAGGAAAAAAGTTTATTATTAGGACAATTGGTAAAATTTGAAGTTTTTTTACATTAAATCACCACATCTCAAACATTTTGATCTCAGGACCTCTTTACTTTCTTAAAAATTATTAAACACTCAAATAGCTTTTGTTTATATTGGTTATATATAAAAGTATTTACTGTATTACAAATTACAACTAAGAAAAATTGTTAAACATTGATTTATTAAAACATTTAAAAGTAGCAATAAAAAAATCCATTCTATATTAGCATTAGAGCAATGAGGTCTTTATGCACCACGGAGCCTCTGGAATGCTCCATTGTACACTCCTGAAAGAATAAGAATGAGAAAGGCAAATATTGTGTTTACATTATTATAAAAATAGTTGGAAATCATAGGTCCTCTACAGGGGATCCCAGAGAACCATTTGAGAACTACTGGATTTGATAGCAAGATCAAATCAATATTGATTTCCTGATTTTTATGTAAGAGAACATCTTTGTTTTTAGAAAATACACACTGAAGTATTTAGGGGTAAAGGGACATGACATCTGCGCTTTTCTCTCAAGTGGTTTGGAGAAAAATAGTAGGTACAGAGAAAATAAAGACAGTGATAAAGCAAATAAGGTAAAATGCTCACAACAGGGAGATTAGGTGAAAGGCACTTATTTTTTGTAAGTTTGAAATTATTTCAAAATAAAAAGTTTTAAAAATATGCCAAAACACCAGTGTTCTTTTTTAAATTTATCAAACTCAAAAAGGTCAACATCAGGAGACAAACATGTCTAGCAACTCCTCTTCCTGTGGCCTCCTCCCCTTTGCCCACGCTCTCCCTAGACTCCTACATTGCCATTCTCTCCTGGACTCCCTCCTTCCACCTGCTCATCTCCTTTGATGCCACTTCTGAGCCTGAGGATTCTTCAGGGCTCAGTCACGGACCCTTGCTCTCTAGATTTACTCTCCATTCTCTTTTTGAATTCCACCTTCATGCTGTTGATGCTCACATTTTCATCTCCACTCCAGACATCTCTGAGCCTGTGCTTCCAAATGCCTTCTTGACATCTCTATTTCCATGAATCATAGATGTCACACACATTGTATAATAAAGAATTTGTCTGGTCTTTGGTCTGGGTTCCTGGCGTTGAGCTTCTAAAGTCCTTGGAATTTCCCAAGTGAAAGGAGTGTCTTTGTTATTCACAAGCCCCTTGATCATATCTGAGTTTATGCTAATGAGACAATTCAGAATGGGAGCTGTTCACCAGAAAGATCACTCATGTGATTAGAAGGTTGGGGCCTTGAGCCAGCCCAACCTGCACCAGAAGAGGGGGTTGAGTTGAGTTGAGATTGAGTTGAGTCACATGGCCGGTGATTCAATCATTCATGTTTATGAGATGAAACTGCAATAAAAACTCTGCACACTGAAGCTTAGTAGGGAGTCCTGGTTAGTGAACATACAGATGTATTGGAGGAGGATTCCATGGGGAAAAAATACAGAAGCTCTGCATTCAGGACCCCCAGCCTTGCCTGATGTGTCTCTTCACTTGGCTGGTCCTGATTTAAATCCTTTATAATAAAACTGTGATTGTAACTATAGTGCTTTCCTGAGTTCAGTGAGTCATTGTAGTGAATTATCAAACCTGAGGGGATCACGGAAACTCCAAAATTGGTATCCATTTGATCAGAAGTAGAGGTGGCTTGGGGCCTCCCAAAGTGCAGCTGTCATCTGAAGCAAGGGCAGTCTTGTTGGAGATGTGCCCTTAAACTTGCAGGGTCTATGCTAACTCTGAGATGCAGAACTGAGTTACAATACACTAATGGGTGCTAGACTAACCCTCCAAATCCTCCATACTCCACCACCTGGGCCATCCCCATTTATATAAATGGCTCTACTGTTTACCACAGTCAGAAGTATGCGACCATATGGGGCCAGCCTGGTGGCGTAGTGGTTAAGTTTGTGTGCTCCACTTTGGCAGCCCAAGGTTCACCAGTTCAGATCCTATGTACCACTCATCAAGCCATGCTGTGGCAGCATGCCACATCAAAGAATTAGAAGGACTTACAACTAGGATATACAACTATGTACCAGGACTTTGGGGAAGGAAAAAAAAAGAGGAAAATTGGCAACAAATGTTAGCTCAGGGCCAATCTTCCTCACCAAAAAAAAAAAAAAAAAAAAGTGTCCCATGATTGTTCTCTTTCCCACTCCTCAAGTATCTAGTCCATCAACAAATCTTCTCACTCTCCAAAACATATCTTCTCTCCAACTCCCTGCATTATCCTGTTCCAAGCCCCCATCATCTCTCACCTGCATTTCTACTACTGCTTCCTCATTGGTCTCCCTACTGCCACTTTTGTCCTCCAACTGCTTCTACATACAGAGATAAAAGTGATGTTCTTAGAAGAGGAAGTCTTCACATTCCAGATTCTGGTCTTTAAATTTCTCAAATAACCCATTTGTTCCTACTCAGGACTTCAGCATCCTCTGGTCCTCCGCCTGGGATGCTCTTCCCCCATCTTTGTTTACTTAGCTCCTCTTCTTCCTTTGGACTTTCAGCTCAAATGCCTCCTCCTCAGAGAGCCCGTCTCTGACCACACAGACCAAAGTAGCTGTCCCTGTTCCCTGTTACTCTCCATTACCATCCTGTCATTTTTTCCCTCGTAATCTTCTGGCCACTTTCCATTATTCTACTGCCTGTTAAGCTGTGTTCCATTTGCGTCTCCCATGCTTACCATTGTACCCTAAGCATCTAATTCAGTGCCTGGAGCTCAGGTAATAATGCTAGTGAATAAATGTTTTGTGAACTTGAATTTTTGGTTAACAGCGTATTGCGGATTTGCAGTATCTCTCTATTCATAGATGTACAGATGTTAATGGCTACACGGGATGCCAATATACATATCACAATTTACCTAACCTGCCTTCTATTGATGGATATTTAGGGCTAAATCAGTTGGAATGTTTTTTGGTTCTGTGTAACAGGAAATAACTCAAAATGGTTCAAACTTTAAAGAAATGTATTATTTCACCTAACAAAACAGCTCCAAAGCCAACAAAGATCCGGGGCCCAGATCTTTCCCTCCTTCTGCTCTGTCACCCCAACGTGCTGGCTTTTCTCAGGCATCCCACAAGACTGAGAGAAGGCTGCGGCTGTTCTGGGCATTCTATCCAGACACAGCGTCCAGGGGCAGGAGAGACCATCTCTTCTTGCTGCGTCCTCTGAAGCTAGGACATCCTGCCCAGAAGCCCCTCCCAGTTCACTAGCCGGAAGGAAATCACAATGCCAGGTTTAACCTGGTCACTTGGGATGTCTGCCCACCCCCACCATGATTGCTTCAGATAAGAGGTTCTCGCGGGGGGGGGGGGGGGGGGGGGGGGGGGGGGGGGGGGAGGGGGGGGGGGGGGGGGGGGGGGGGGGGGGGGGGGGGGGGGGGGGGGGGGGGGGGGGGGGGGGGGGGGGGGGGGGGGGGCGGGGTGCGGTGGGGAAGAGCTCTCCCGGGCTCTGGAGCTTCCAATGTCTGGAGGTTGTTACTGGCATTTAGTGCCCAGGGAATTTGAAATGCTGAAGCTCTTCCCACTCCTGGGGCAGCCCACAAAAGGGATTGCCTTGTCCACAATGTCATTAGTGCCCCCTTTCAGAAACACTGGCTTGGACTAATCAGGATCTGCCCTCTGGGACTGGACCAGCCCCCCTGAAGCACTTGGTGGGGTGGATTCAGGAGTCCGTTATAAAGCAGGAATAGGGGCAATGGATGTCGGGAAGGGAATCAGCAACGTCTACCAAAAGGTGGTTTTCAGTTTGATGCCATGTTGAACAAGTTGTATTTAAGAGGCTTCTGCCTACATCTTTTCAGTTATCTCCTTAAATTCTTGAAAGTGGGATTGCTAGATCAAAGGATATGCCCATTGTCCCTTTTGATACACACTGCTAATATGCCCTGCTGAAGAAGTATGTTACCACCAATGGAAACCCTCCTTTCAGAGGACAGGCAAGTTTTCAGGAGAGATGCAACTCCCTGGGATACCACAGTGAAGAAAGCAAAGCAAGTGGAGGACTACAGAAGGGGACTATTTATAAGCAGGAAGACATTCACAGCTGAATTTCAGGAATATCTAAGACATTATTTTACTCCTGACAGTAACAGCCCGTGCTCAAAGCACTTCCTCTTTTCAAAGTCATAACCCTGTTGGTGAACAGAGTTGGTATTATCCATCTTCTTCAAAAGAAACTAAGGCTCAGAAAATACAGAGGATTTTTTCTGTCATGGAAAGTTAAGTTCAATTTTTAAAAACAAATTAATGGGGAGATGGAATGTGCTTAGAGTTACATTGACTGTAACAGAGACCCAATTAAGAATGTCTTAAACTTTGTAGAAGTTCATTCTTTCTCTCAAAAAATCCAGGCCTGGTAAGGTGCTCCACAGCACCGGAGAACTGAATGCCTTTTGTTCTGTTGCTGCACCATCGCTCAGGAGTCCTCTTCCTCTGAATGGTCCAAGATGGCTCCCTGCCTCATTC